TCCTAACTCACCTTTCGTTCTCATTGGCATTGACGTATTCTAAATTGATGTTTCCAGTTCCCAACTTAATACCATAATTGAAAGTTTATCAACTATACTTTGAATCCATTTTATTTATCAGGTTACATTTTTTTTTTTGAATTAATACATCATACGATAATTTTAAGAACATGACTAGCTACATATTATTTTACTACTATTTTAACTATCCCCTAAAGTTATTCTAAATGGTGCAATGGGATGGGCGAGGTGATCTAGTACTCTTCAAAAGATGTTGAAATCATTGCATTAAGATACGATCTTTTCTTCTGGTTCAAAATTAATAGAGTAAGAATTGATACACTTCGTGTGTATTATTAATTTTAGGTGCTCAATATACCAATAATCCGGGCTCAGTCAACACCAAAAACCGACACCACAAAGCAACAACCCACAACTTCCAAAACCAATAGCTCCCAAATCAACCAGTTGCTCCAATAAAAGTCAGCCTACAAAGGACTCGGTACGAAGAAGAAGGTAGCCTCAATGTTTAGCCACTAAGGCTAAGGAAGAAGGGAGAAAATGGATCACCAAAAGGCACAAAGCCAAAGCACAAAGCAAACAAGTGAATCCATTTTCTCTTTTCAATGGAAACGGCTTCCCTCAATTTCACACACTTACCAACAGTAATGGGCAAGGAGTTAAATAGGTGAACTTTAGGTTTGGACCTTATGTCAAATGATAGGGCCCAATATGATGAATATATGTGGGCTAACAACCTAGAGCCATCCAAGTCTTTGGGTCGGCCCATAAGCAATCATAATTAAATTTGGCTACTTCAAATGACCCAAATAGGTTGTGGGTTTGGTCCGAACTATTGTGGTGTCGATATTGCACTTCACTCATCGGTCGAGACCTATGAAGTATAATCCAACAAAAAACATGTTTAACATTATCACCCGAATTTATTGGGTAACAAAACCCAACAAATCTCCACCTTGATTCCCAATAAATCTGCAAGCAACCAAAACACACAATTTATACTTATACAATCAAGGTAACCAATAAAATTGATATCACAGACCTTACCTTGTGTTTTAAATCCAAAACACATAACATACCTGCTCCATATACTCATAGGGGCTAAGATCAAGAACATACAAGTAGAAGCAAATAATCACAATAATCAATCAAGAACAAATAAATATGCGATGGAGATATCACATATATGATAACATAGATCTTTTCAAACATGTTCCACAGAACAACAGATTAATACCAAGTTAATCAAAACACATGGTCAAAACATATGCAACAAATGCATAAATGACCCCACGAAAAGATCTTACCACACTTATCCTATCCTATTATGTGTTGCTCGCACCTCAAGAAGACATATCTCACCTCATCGCCCACAATGCTCACTAGACAAATCACTCAAAACATGTATAGCTGGTAAGCCACTATAAATCCTAAGTTCTCGGGATAATCCTCTATCACCACATCACTTCTCCCAACCTACGTGGACAATGAGTCTCCACCTAACAGAAGTGATAGAAGTGCAACTCTTACACTCCACCTGATCAGGGTCTCTTTTACAGATAAATGATTCCAACATTTGATCACATCTCCACTCATGATCCAAATGTCACATTCCACATCCCTGATACAAACCACCAATGTACCCATAGGTATCTATACTCCACCTTACCATAAGACACACACACACACACACACACACACACTACTAATGCATCTCAAACCTACTATGCATGCAAACAATTATACCAAGTAATGTGATCATTCTAATTCATGCCAATGCACATATCAAACACATTGAAATGCAACATATAGTCATGCAACGGAATTAAATAATCACACATATGCAGAAAAGATTACACACGGATGCAAATGCAGTAACTAGGATAATACTCAATAAGGCTCACTGAAGTTATCACTCGACCTTAATGCCAAATTCGTCTTGCCTATCAACTTACCATTCTGCTTATCCTTGTTCTTCTTAGGACAATCCCTGATAAAATGTCTAGTCTTACGTCTACCATTAGACTTGTCCCATCTTTTGCCCTTCTTCTTACCATCCTCATCACTCGAGTCACTACTCAAATCACTACTATCTTGAACTCTACCCAAACTCATCTGCTT